CCTGTACATTCAAGGAAAGGTTGTGCTACTTGAATGAAGTAATGGAAGTTTGATGAAGTAAAGGAAGTTACAAAGAGCCTTCCTCTTCAAAAGTATGAAAAAGAGGACAAAACGTGATGCTGAACACCAGTCTTCCTCCAGCACTAATGAAAATGAAAGGGTACAGAAAAGAAGTTTGTACTGACTGAGTCATGATAGAAGTACCACTTTAAACTGCATGGGAAATGTGTATATGAAGGATCACAGAAGTGATGTGGGGACACATTTATATCACTTACGGGAATGTTGATGCACACCAATAAACCTGTTCCCTTGTTCCTTTTCTGTGAACACTACACTAAGAGCAGAGGGGATGTTTTCTTGTTTGGCAGCCATCACTAGCCCAGCAGAGATAAGTAGAGGGTTACAGGTCTGACTGTAGTTAGGAAAGATCACCCCTAACAGAACACATTGCACTTACAGCAAAATGCTACCGTGTTCCCCCCTTACCAAGTGTGGTACTTAACACCTCACATTTTAAGAGAGAGGAAAACCCAAAAATACTAGCCCCACATTGCTGGCTGAAACCAGCATCTCCGAAGGAGCGAATGCAGGTTACAGTGAGTATTTGCTTGCAAGCCCACAAAAGAAACAGTGCCTGCATTCCACACGTTCTTCACTGCACAGACAGCCGCAGCAGGAGGAAAGTTTCAAAAGCAAATAAGCACTGAAAACCTTCAGTCAAAAATTCATTTGTAAACACTTACGTGGCTGTTTTGATGAATTACACAGAGATACTCAAGTCTTCCTTCCATATCAACCTGAAACTATACTGTTCATGACAATTACGTTTCATCAAAGCAAATTCTTTTTTCCAAACAGGTGTTCTTTGTTCCACAGAAATGTTAATTAAAAGAAGTTATGCAATTCAGAAATTAAACTAAATGGGAAATAAAATGTATTTCAGAGTCATCTGTATCAATCTAACAAAACCCAGACTGCTGTCACTGCCTATAATTGCCCAGAAATAAATTCTTTAGCAGTTGTCATGGGCAGAAAACGTAACCAAACAAAACGCCAGAAGACAATGGATGCATTTTTGGGTTTTAATACTTAAGCTGAGGCTTGCCCCAGTCCCAGAGTTACCCCAAGGCAGACCCTAGTTTACTGATGCTCTTAGGGTAAAAGACGGCTGGGGGCTTGCTGCACGACTGCCGGGCTCTGAGCTGCGCCAGGTTTGGCTCCCTCACCCAGATCGCAGGACAGATGGAAGGGAGCACGAGGAGCCCCAGAAAGCAACTAATTCTGCAACGACCTTTGTGCAGGAAAGCTTTGCAGGCCACAGGCTCCCAGGTCTTACTCTGGGAGTTCTTGGCTTGTATCTGACTAGACAGTGGGCTAGAGAAGAAATGAAGATGTAAACCAGGTCATGTATGCATTTAAACTGACATTTTTGCTTCTACTTAAAACCTGCTGTTCTCTTTCCAGGAATTCATAAAACCTAGCCAAGTATTTTCTTAATATGTACATAGGCCAAATGCCAGAGATTATACATTCAACAAAAATAAATACACTGAGAATCTAGCAATACAGAATTTTTCTCAGATGCTAACGAAAAGACTACATGATTGAAAAAAAAAGTAGAACTCTCAAAATCTCTTAACAGAAACTTATACATGGACATTTCAGAAGATGGGGCCTTTCAGTAAGTTCTCTTGGTTTTTTATGATTTTCCTGGGTAACGCTCTTTACAGCATCCCAGAAGAGCACTTGGAGTGCTATGGAGTATGAATGAAGGTGCCTCCTTCAAGTGCAGTTATGTACCAATTCAACAATTTTAAAACACACTTTCTGTGGCTGATGCACTGCTGGACATCCCAGCCACCACAAATAAATGTTCTCTGTGTATACTTGCCAGGAGAGGAGCATCATCAGATGGTGGCAAACATGACATAGCAGCAATAAATGAAAAACAAACAAAAACACCCCCAAAAGACCCCAGCGTCCGCAACAAGGATCTGCCGCAGTCTTTGGCTGAACTTACTTGAAGAAAAGAGATTTTTCTTTTTCTGTCCTTTAAAAATGAAATAAACAAATAAATGCTCCAAACCACAGATGGCTTTACAATTAAAGAAGTGATACCTATAGATCAACATGACCGGCAAGGAGCTGCAAATAAAACTCAGCACTACTGAGCACTCCTTTGGAGGTGTAGGAGCAGATTATCCACCAAACTCTCAAAATCAGGGTTATCTCTGAAAAAGAATTAGTAGGACAAAAAATAACGCACCAAAATGGGATTATTCTAATCACATTGCATATACCCTGAAAGCTACTAAAATGGTCCATTTTACAGTCTAGTTTTCTGTACTGACACTAGGCAATATGGTGGTGCTGAAAGGGATGGTCATTCCAGCTAATTTTTGTGGTTCAAGCTGTGACAATGAGAATATTTTTGAAAACCTTGGAAGGGCAGGGAGAAAACGTAAAGCAAAAATTCAGTCAAGAATACATTAGGGCAGAAAGTAATCAACTGACCTGTGGACAGAAATACATCAGGTTGGATTTTTATGCCAGGCTGTATTACTCCAATAGCCAAGAAACTTAAATAGTACACTGCCACCACGTGATCTATATTGTAAATCTGTATCTTCTGATGGCAGATGGAAACTATTCTAACTTCATTTTTTTATACAGTCAGCAGAAATAAGAATACAGCTTGTTATTATACAACTGTGTGCAATTTACTTCACACAAACGCGCACACACATTTTCTTTTCAGCAAGGCTCTTCAGTTTCAGGCGACAGGGACAATCCCTCTGTCTTCCTACAAACCATCTTTTTAGAAAGTGCGAAGTGCACCTTGGCAAAGAGTTTGGGTCCGAAACAATGACCACTCCCTGAGAAAGAACTGTCTCTAGATGAAAAAGGCATCCAAAAATGATGAGACTGGAATTTCTACTGAAAAGCAAGATCAGTAGGGAAAAGGATGAAAAAAGGATGAAGAAAAGTGAGGTGTTCAAAACAAGAGAAGTGTAAGAAAAGAAGGCGGCTGTATAAAATCACAATATCAGTAGGATGTTGCAGATGATAACTATTCAGGGCTTAATTACAGGAAAG